TGTGGCGAACTTGCTCAGCCCCTTCAGATATCTTGCTGGGATTTCATCTCCTGGCATTAACTGCAATTACTAAACTTCCTCTTCCATCCATGGGAAACGCACACACTTGGCCCATAATCCAAGGTCAGGTCTCAAATCCTGACAAACTCTCTGGTGTGAAAGGCCTCAAGGCATAGCATGGAAACTAGCCTGAGACCTCACTGCAGTTACTTACAGGCCAGGGCACGTGCTCCACCCATACAACATCTTAACTGGCTGCTTTCTCCTCCAGCAGAAAGAGGGTGGAGAGGTGTAATAGCTGTGCATTCCCACCTTCCCACCCTCCACCTCCCGACTCATATGCCAAAACTTAATCCCAGGGTCATGGTATGTGAAGCTAGGGGCCTGGGAAGGTGTCTAAGTCACTATTCTATTGCTGTGAAGACACGATGACCATGGCAACTAATATGTTTTTAAAAACCATTTCACTGGGGCTTGATTACAGTTCAGAGGTTTTGGCCATTGCTATCACAGCAGAGAGCATGGTGACAAGCCATCCTCCATCCTGATCCTTAGAGAGAGAGAGAGAGAGAGAGAGAGAGAGAGAGAGAGAGAGAGAGAGAGAGAGAGAGAGAGAGAGAGAGAGAATGTAGAGACTCTGGGCTTTTGAAGCCTCAAATCCCACCCCCCAGTAACACATTTCCTCCAAAGAGACCACACCTCCTAATCCTCTCAAATAGTGCCACTCTCTGGTGACCAAGCATTCAAATATATGAGCCTTAGGGAACCATTCTCAATCAAACCACCACAGAAGGTAACTAGTTCATTAGCATGGAGCCCTCATGAATGCTCATATGAAAGGATCTCCAGAGAGCCCCTGTTCTGTGACGTTAAGACCAGAGAAGTCAAAAGTGTGCATCTCAGAGGTCTTCATCAGACCCCATCCACACCTGTATCCTTAGGGTGGACACCCAGCCTCCAGAATGGCGAGAAGTAGATGCACTGTTTAGAAGTCACCCAGTCTATGGCACTTCATCAGAGCAACCCCAGTTAACTAGAAAAGAACAAGGAAGCCTTTAGACGGAGGACAAGATATTTGATTTCACTAGGTGAGTGGGAGCCAGTGATTCCCAAGGTTCCCTCCATAGTCTGGTTTTCTCTTAAGTGTTGGAGGAGATACATAGAAGGCAATAGCTGGAGGTCACAGTGAAATGTCTTCTCCTTAGAATGGCTGTGATAATAGCACTCACTTCCATTTAAGCAGCACCATTACAAAATACTCTCTAATGGATTCTCATTTGGCTCCTACAACACAAAGAAATATATGGGTAGTAGTGAGCTAAATCTTAGTAGGGGCGTATATGATGTCATTGAGTCTGTAAGGTTAAACACTTGATTATGGTCCTGTAGCTGGCCAAACAGAAACTCAGAGTTGGCTCCAGGGTCAAATCCATCTTCTTTTCCGTTGTGGAATAACTGTAGAATCCCTGCCCAATTACCTATACTCTAGGAGTATCTTGCATCTACAAGGACGCTAGAGCCAAGAGCCAGGGCTGGCTGAAGGAGTTAGCATCCCGTCAGTCAGACACTATCTGAAGCCAGTCTGCCCTGGCCAGTCCTTGGCAGCTCATCAGAAGAGTCCTCATAGGAGAGCCACAGGTAATGAGAGTCTGTGGCTAAGTGGGTAACTTGTAAGGGAATCCCACTTTGTTTCCACCCCTTCGTATAGTTGGACTTGCGTGTACATGTGTGGTATGATTGGCATGTTTGCTTTTTCTAAAACCTAAGCTCTAAAATGAAATCCAATTAATCATTATGACAGGCCAGTGGGGGAGTATCAGCTTTCAGCAGGGGATGCATGGGCTGTGTCTAGAAGGTCTCCCATATCCATGGTGACAGGGAACCACTGTCCAGCACCACTAGACCTTCTTCAGGAGCCTGTTGATGTAGGGCAAGGGGGTGCTGATCCCTCTGATTTAGGCAAAGAACTCTGTTTTATACCTTAAGCACAAAGATCATTGTCTTGAAAAGAAAACCTTATGCACAGTTAATTCTTACAAACACACAGTTGGCAAGTTTGTGACAATGATTGATGCACTTGTAAGTATGTCAGGTATTAACAAGACTCTGCCGGGGACAAGGGTGCTGCTGGAGTGTAGCCGTTCTTTCCAAGCCCAGAGCTCAGTGTCCTCAGACACCCTTGCCTTCCCTCCTTACTATTCCAAGTATTTCCTCGACTGGTTGAAGTGATTCAAACGATGAAGCTGTCTTCAATTCCTGTGAAAATTTACTCAAGTATAAAGCTTTGTATACATTCTTACTAAGAAAGGGTCCCTGCGGCTGGTTGTTTATCTACCCGTGAAGCACACACATACAAATCATTGTTTTGAGGGGCAGTTTTACTAGCTGTTGAGCATACTAGCCTTGGAACTCGATTTTAAATCCTGGCTGCTCCCCTTGCCAGCTGTGAGAACTTGGGCAAGCTACTTAACCACTCTGTGCCCTTTTCCTCACCTGTGAAAAGAAGATAGCAGGGCCTACCTCATGGGTTATTAGAAGGATTAGATGGATTAATACATGTAAAGTACTTAAAATAGTGTCTGGCACACAGCCAGGAAGCACTTGTGAATTAATTGACTGCTTACTGTGGCTTTCTGGGTATTTTAAGTTCCTGATGCTGTCACATGTCATCAAAAACAAGTTTGTAGATTTCCCTAATTTACACATTCTGCAGCAATGACATTTTACTATGTATAAATCTTCTTAAGAGCTGTATAGTGACTCATTTTCAGTTCCATCAAGGATATGGTGAGGGTCTGGAAGGTGCTACGTTATCTGGGACTCAAAAACCAAACCAAACCACACCTTTCACAAGGAAAGTAGACCAAATGCAGAATTCCAGCCTTCGTCACTGCAGGCACAGTAAAGAGAGGCCTCCAAGAGTGGTTACCTATGCTTCTAAAAAATGATTCTGAGTCCAACTAATAACAGAGAAACTGATGTATTCTTTGCAAACTGGATGAAGAATGCCAAGGAGAGAACATCAACCCCATAACTCAAGGGACTGAACATTGTCATCTCAGGTGTCAGACCCATACCTCCTGCTTCTCCTCAGTGTATTATGTACCTTAGAGAAATTACAAGACGTGGCTGTCACAATGTCAGAACTACGCCTGCCACACTCGTGTCACCAGTGACTGCTATGGCAGATACTTCTTTGGTTTGCTTTGTCCCAAGGATGTGTCAGCTCAGAGGTTCTGGGAAAAGCTCAGAGTCAGGGACAGGAGACCTGGAGAAAGCGCTCCTCCCAAGAGCTGACATGGTCGTCAGCTGTGGTGGCAGAGAAAGCCACATTCCTGATCACCTTGCTGACACTGAAATGTGCCTTGTGATCTGTTTCTTTCTGAGGGCTGCTTCCCATCTTAAACAGGGGTGGAGTTAAGCATATAAGTCACCCCACAACATCCTATCTGGAGAGTGCCTCTTCTGAGTTATGAGAATAGCTTCTAGACAGATGACCCTTATTAACCATTCATTTAGCATTCATCTTTTCCATTTAAAAATTCTTTAAATCATTTTAGTATTTTTGTATGGCTGTTTTCTCCTGCGTGTATTATGTGTCCCATGCGCATGCAGTGCCTTCAAAGGCCACAAGAAGGCATCAGATCCCCTGGGACTGGAGTTACAGGGAGTTGTGAGCCGCCATGTGTGTGTGCTGGGAATTGAACCTAGGTCCTCTAGAAGAGGAGCTAGTGCTCTTAAACACTGACCCTTCATTCCATCCCCATCTTTTCCATTTTTAATGGACTGAAGCAAAGAGGTTTGCTGCCTGGCTCCAATGCACCACACGTAACATCAACAAAACCTCAAGAACAAAGACTCTTGACACATGCAGGTCCATTGCAGTCACATGACCCCGGTGAGTGGAGGCAGCAAGGGTTTCTTGCTTTAAAAAACGTTGTTAAGCAAACCTCCTGTGACCTGCCATTGGTTATTCTCCAAAGGCCTCACACTCTAGTGTCTTCTCTTGGGAGCTCAGAATTGTACCTTAAAAGTAAGAACCAACACAAAACAAGAATGCACATGGCTCAGTCATTCTCAGATGCCACCAGGAGGAGGCATTCAGCACAAACAGAATTCTGGTTCCTCAGATGAAGTTCACCACTGACCTATGCCTGACATGAGAACGGGTGTCTTTCTCAGGCAGGAAGAAACTCAGACCTTCACCTGCTGGTCTACTGAGCTTTAGTTTGATTGTGCCTTCATATAGTTGATGCTATCCTTTGAATCTTTTTTTTAAAATATGCATTGGTGTTCTGCCATGGGTATCAGGTTTCCTGGAACTGGAATTATAGACAGTTGTGAACTGCCATGTGGATACTGGGAATTAAACTCAGGTCCTCTGGAAAAGCAGGCAGCACTCTTAACCACTGAGCCATCTCTCCAACACGACATATAAATCTTAAATGTCTCTTACAGTCCCTTATTTTGAGCACTTGGTCTCTGGCCTGTAGTGTCATTTTGAAGGCTATGGAGCCCAGCTGAAGCAGTTCACTAGGGATGCTTGAGGGTTATACTTGCCTGGGGTTCCAGCCTCCTTTTTCTGCTTCCTGGGAACCACGATGTTGGCAGGGTACTCCCACTGCCATGGCTAAGTCTCTCAGCATGCTCTTCCCCACCATGGTAGAGACACTCTGAAACTACGAACCAAAATAACCCTTTCCACCATTAATTTTGTCACGCTGATGAGAAAAGACACTTAAAAATCCATAGCTATTTTTTCAAAGATAAAGGTAGATTATTGTTATTATTATTTTAGCCTTACTGTAAAAGCAAATTAGAGTAGATACCAAGCCAAGAAGGAGGGGTGGGGTGCAGTGGGAGCTGACTGAGATGGTGCTACATGTTGAGTGGCTGTTCTTTTGAAATGAACTTCTTTAAAAAGATGGGTCATCCCAGCACATATTTCCTGACTTCCAGTCAGATGCCCCACTGAGGCTCAGATAAGGACACCAGGCCAGTCAAAGTTTAACTCGGTTTTATTGTCCAGTTTTGAGTATTTTCAAATTATACAACATGCAGTCTGCCAGAGTATCCATACATCTTCATTTAGAACCTAGGAGATAACCAGAGTTTTCCAAGGGCCAGGGAGGGTTACTTCCAGATCTTTGGGGACATTTCTATCTCACAGGATAGCTATTTAATACACACTGCCACTCTCCCCATCAAACCACAGAAACAAGTTTGTCCACAATTTTTCTTAATGAAATCTACTGTACAGGACATAAAGCCCAGAGAACACAAATCTGCAGTACACAGAACACTTTACAAACTAGACAGATAGAATTCTACAGAAAGCCCTATTCCCCTTGAAGCTGCACACATGGCAAGTGTTTAAAATTGACACACAATTTTCAGTAACTAAGCAGACCTCATAAATTGGTGCCTCCTTTGGCAGTTATCTGGTCCTTACTCAATACTCATTTTAAAACTCAAAATCACGTTATGAAGCAGTTTTAAACAGTGATGCTCTTTAGCTTGCTCAAGATAGCCAGGATGAGACAATGAAGTGAAACCTGCCCGATGACAAACTTCTGCTAATGACTAGTTTTCCCAGTGTCATTTACCTAGTGTCCCAATGGCACCTGACCGTCAAAGGAAGGGACTGTTGAAGCCTTATGTTCCTTTGGCTGTTCTTCTAAGAGAGTGAAGCTGATGAAACCCTATCCGGGTGAAGCCCTGGTCGTGTCCTGAGACTGAAAATTCACTTCTCTATATGAACTCGAAGGCTTCAAGGAGTCACTGGATCGACATTCTAGACAAATATTTTTATCCCTTCATTTATTCCAACATTTCTACAAATTCTGATTTTCTTCCCCATACAATTCTATACCCTTTAAAAGTCCTAACACCTCTAATGCTATCCTACCTGCCATTCAATAAAGCAAACTGCTCCTCATTCAAAGGACATACAGGACTCACTAAGAACAGACCGAACTGCAGTTGTTGGTGTAAGTCCCAACCATAACTGCAATCACTATCAGCACCCCGTGGCTCTGCAAGTGGACGTTATTTGTATAAGCCACTGGCTGTACTCAAACAGCACCTCGGAGTAAACTTTCAAGAAATGGGCATGAAATAGTACATTATCTAGAGCAGAGTACACATTGACATACATACCAGTAACATGCAGCATGTGACCAGAAATGTAACCCTTCACTTGGCTGTTCAGAAATGGGTTTTTTTTACATTTAGAGTATAGGATGTAATAGTCTTTCAACAATGAATTTTTTATAAACACGGTCTTTTTAAAAAGTGGCCCAAGAGTATACTGTCCTGCTAAAAGAATTAATAGTCAAAGTGAGATTAAGGGGCCTGCATGAATAAGCTGTATAATCCGTTCCAATGATGTGCCTAGCTTTTAGTCACTGTGAGAAAATTAGATTAGAGGTCTTATAAAGACTGGCGCTAGATGAACTGACTGGCTGATCAGCAACTAGCAGAATTATCTCTAAAAGACATCAAAGCCAACTTTCTCTGTGAATAAAAGTACAGTGAATTTTGTAAGGCCCTTGTAGAGATCAAGTAAAGGGAACTACAAATGAACGCTGCCTTTTGAAACTTGAAAGTGCCCCACAGTTCTTCAAAAGTAGAAAACGGGAACCTAGGGGGAAACTGCTTTAGAAAGAATCTAAAATAACCCATTTTCTAATGGATATTAATGAAAGCCAAGAATATGGCATTACTGCATTACCCAATTTCTAAACACAAAAGTCGTACAGTTGTATAAAAGACAATAGCAGGTCCTATAGAAGTGTTTGATTGGCAGTCCTCTTACAGGCCAATGTTTCAGCTTCCAAAGCCAGAGGCAAGCATAGGCAACATGCTTGCAATTTGGCATCAGGTAGTACCTGATAAGGCTTGCAAACTTGCCCTGCAAAATACCCATCAGACTCCAGACCACAGCCAAGCAGATATGTCAAGTAGACAGTAGCAACAAAATTAAACCAGGTGAACACAGTTAGACAAACACAGAATCACCTTTGTGAAATAAATACTTCAATAGAAGTTGTCTTCTTTTCATGCCTAGTTAAAAACAAAAAACATGTGGATAAAAGGGCAACATGTAACAAATAAATTAAGTCAAAGCAATGTTGCTTTGTTAGGGAAAGTCTATACAAAAAGAATCTGGAGGTAACATAATGACCCTTGACATTTTACACATGCATGTGCATGTGTACACACATTAACTACATTAACTTTTCTATCCTCACCCTCGAAGCCATGAGAACGCCCAACCACCCGCCCCACCCGGCATAGACTTTACTTCAGTGGTGCCAGCTGGAGAAGATGGTGTAAGCTCATACTTCTTGGGCACATAAGATGCCAGGATGGGTGATTTCTCTGAGATTGGAGGAGATGTTACCAACTAACCCGCAAATAAATAAAAATAGCAGCACATAGTACCAAATTACTTAAACCTGTCAATTTCCCTTGAAAATCTATTACTTGGCAACTGATTCTCTTAGTAAGGAATCACTTTTAGATTCATGTATTTAAATAAAATAATAATTAAATGTTAAAAAAATCCATCCTCTGTGCCTAGAAGAAAAAGCCCATTTGGCACCAAAAAAAGAATTCAAATCAGCGGTGCTTGATGATGGGTTACAATGAAAATGAATTCACAGAGAGGCACAAATCTCATCAATTACTTTCCCTTGAGGGAATTCTTTTCCAACTACTGGAATGATGCTGGAGTTCTTAAGGAGCATCTCCTCAAGCGCTTGATGGCTCACTAGAGAAAGAGGTCATCCCAGTCCGAGTTCCAGGGGACTGGGAGGAGGTGCTGCGAAGTGGAGGATCCCCATCTCCACTCATCCAATTCTGCAGCATTTCCAGTACTTCTAGAGGAATGATGTTCAAACAATTGGGCTGAGACTAGTCACTGCAGGTTTACCAGCAAGCAGCTCGGAGGTGAATTGTATGACTTCCCATTTTCATGGATGTGTCTGAATGAGCAAATTCTACACTGCTACTGTCAAACTGTTTTTTTTTTTTCTGCCTTGAAGAAATCTGCTTTCATTTTACCAGGTGCCATACTAAAAGGTATATTTTATAGATCCAAAGACATGATCAGGATATTTAAAATGCTCTCTGGGGTTGGTTTTGGAAAAGTGTTCAGAATGAAAATTTTGAACCCTATAGCAGCACTTTTTTTTGTTCCCTAAAAATATAAAGTAATGTGTTTATTTTACAGGAAACCAGACAGTCGAAGCAGAGCATGGTCACTGATTCCACAGCACTTGGTTGTCCCCTCAAAGATGTCACAGCAGGGTGTTCCATTCCAATGGGTCAGTGCACTGCAGGGACCTCCAGAGACCACCAACCCTGGAGGCCGTGAGTGGGGACCGTTCCAAGCAGAAAGTGGATATTTTGCAACCACCTCCTTCCAGTTCTTAGGAGAAGGATCCAAGCACATATCTGTACACACAAATTCTACATAGCTCAAACACCTGAATCTGGTGTACTACAGACGGCTGGGCAAGCAAGTGTAAAAAGAAATGGAAACTGTATAGGAGGGGGCAATAAAGGAACTGGAGACTAATATAGTCCTTTTCATGCTACATGGAGTCATATCTGTTGAAAAAGAAATGAGAGAGAGAACACAGGAGTTAGGGATCGGCAGAGATTCGTTCCTCAGCCCTTTTGTTCCAGTCTACATGCTTAGAGCGGAGAGAATCCAATACAAATGCAGTGTGAGCCCCTTATTCTATTTCTTCCAGTGTGTGCATTAAGAAGTTAAAATGAAATATTAATCTTAATAATCTACTTACGTAGTCTAGTATTAAAATATTGCTTCAATATGTACACGTGGGGCTATGTTTCCCTACAGTGTTGTCATTGAGGGATTCCAGCATACTCCACCCCACCCTGAGTTGGGGGCCTGGCCCATCTGTAATCTGGCCTGTGGATTTCCTGCAGTGGTCCTGATACCCTAGGGAGGAAGAAGTGGAGGACATGTCGGGCAGGTACAGCCTCATCCTTAGGAAACAAAGGAAGTAGAACCACAGGAAACAAGTCAGACCCAAGAAAACCTCATCTGCCCCTCCTGAGTCTAAACAAGCCTCCATAAGCCGGCACTTGTACTTCCTGCTTATCTCTAGCCTTCGGTCCAAACTGATGCCCACGTGCAGTGTCTCTCGGCCCTGCCACGACACTTCTGCTATGTTTGCTCCTCTTCAGCCCCTCATTTGTAATACCGCAAGCAGCATCACGTATTTTGTGTAAAGAAACAACACAAATTGTGTATGAACACACAGAAAGGAAGGGGAGCATGGAACAGAAGAGAAACTGAGGAGAGAGGACTCTTCACACTTCTTAAGAATGCCCATTCCTCCTGGACCCTACAGCAAACATGCAGGAATCTAATCCCACGTCATTAGAAGGAACTTTAACAACCTTCGACGATAACCTTGCAATTTCTAGAAGCTCCAGAAAGAAAGAAAATGAAAGTTTGTAGGAAGGACACGTTTCACATTCGGTCTTCCTTGAGAGAATCTATACTTCCTGTTGAGTGCAGAATGAAGTTGTCATGTACAATCCACTTTGAGCTGAAAACCAACAGGAAGGCTTTTTGAAAACCAGCCCTGAGATTGTACTTCACCTAAGGGTTCATTCTTCCAAACATATCAGAGCCCTGGGCAGAGGGGATTGGTCGTCCTGTGTGCCCAAGGGCAGGGAGGTGCTGGGTGCATACCTTACATTGTGAGGTTGCAGATTGACACAATCACCACAGGCAACCCATGTTGACACAGGAAGTATTCAGCACACAAATGCCATGGCACAGCCTCAAAAACTCCAGCAGACCATGAAGTGACAACATTTCCAAAAGAAAGATGGCATTCAACCCCCACACACAACCCCCACCCCCTGAAGTACAAGATCCAGCACGTTTGGCCTAACAGCTTGAACAAAATGGGGGGTGAGGGCAAAAGGGAGGCCCAACCTACTTAGTTTAGTCACCTCAAGGGCAGTGAGGAAGAGGTGGGTTGTGACAGGTTGCTGAATGAAAAAGCAGAAGCCGAAGCAGGGTCCTTTCTCCACTACAATGACGTGTCCCCCCTCGCTCAAATTCTCAGATCATTTTGGGTCAGCTGGAGTGTCTCCATCCATCCTCCCACTACCCGGATGTCCATTCCCTTTGATGAATGCACCACAGAGAATGGAAGTAAACGCTGAAGGTAAATTGTTTCACTCCACAAGAAAAGCTCGTCTGCCCGTTTTCGTCTTAGTACCTGCTTCTGTTGACCGTCTCTCCAGGGCTGTAGGAGAGTTGCTCAGTCGTCTAACAGTTGCAAGGAACCAGACCGAGAGACGAGGCAGTGTACTAACCTGAGGCTCTGCCAAGCGGAGGCCAGCAGCCCAGAGTGGGAACGTGTGACCAGATTTAGAAGGAAATAGAATCACCTTGTTTTAGAAGGGCCAGAGAAAGCCAAAGGAGCTAATTATATATATAAGGGTTTTGCAAGACGTATTTCGATTCCAACCCTCCTCGACTTTGGCTTTTGAAATTGCTTGCAATAGATTTAAGCTTAATCCAAACAGTACATAGTTTTATCTTTCCCTTTCTATAGTTCAATCCCCATTTATAAGAATTACCAGTTACAGTTTGCTTATCACTGTGGTGCAATCTGCAGCAGAGGGGGGAAGAAATAGTTCCGCATTTATGATGGGAGAAATGCATAGCCCAGATTACTGAAGCAAGTTCTTCCTGGTGCCACCAAGTCTCCCTCTGCGCTCCAGGTGGTGGTTTCCAAGCCGTCAGCACCACCCACTGCAGGTACCGCTGTCCTAGTCCCTGCAGACCGACTTCTTCAGACCCCAGCCTCATAACTGCTAAGGTTAGTCAGTATTGTGAAGGTCAAAGTTATGCTAAGTTCTTCTCTGGCTTTCTTTTTTTAAATTCCTTCCTTGTGATCTTGTCAGGTCCCCACACAAGGGCCCTAAACTCTCCCTGCATCATTGGGCAACAGCCAAGAATCTTCTCTGAAGTGGCAAGCATGGCTGCTTTCTTCACAAACTCTAGCCAAGGCCATGCAGAGAAACAGAAGGTAGCAGCAGCTTGGAGAAGTAGCTGCCATCTATCAGAGCGGGCTTCAAAGAGGTCTGCAAAGTGCAAAGCAATGCCAACTAGCTAAGGGTTTTTTTTGTTTGTTTTTTTTTTATTTTACGAGACAGGGTTTCTCTGTATTGTTTTGGTGGCTATCGGTCCAGCACGCCCTCGAACTCACAGAGATCCACCTGCCTCTGCCTCCCGAGTGCTGGGATTAAAGGTGTGTGCCACCACTGCCCAGCCTAGCTAAGGGTTTTGAAAAGGCAATTTTTCCCTAACATGTCATGTATGCTGGTAGTCGTTCACATGTACATAGCCAAATAAAGACACACAACCACATACACACAGTTAAAAGAAAATAAACTGTTTACAAAGTGTTCAGTGGTTAAGAACCATACTGCTCTTGCAGACGACCAGAGTTTAGTTCCCAGCACCCTCCTGTAACTCCAGCTCTAAGGGACCTGACACCTTCTTCTGGCCTCTAGAGGCATCTGTTCTCATGTACACACACACACACACACACACACACACACACACACACACACACAATTAAAAATAAAACTTCTTTTTAAGTCACTTATGGTAACTTATTCAAATGAACCATTCACTTAATGTTTTAGTTTTAAATTTTTATACAATACATACATACAACTAAAGTCCTTTGTTGCCACTGATCTTCTTTAAGGGTACAAAGTGTCCTGAGGCCAAAACTTTAAGAACTGGCACAGACCAGCTCCAACTCCCTAGCCTAAGGCCCATTTTGACCCTTCTTTTTGGAACATAGAATAAGGAGCCCTGGCTAGCTGGTGTGGACCTGCACAGAAACAGGCACAGGGCTGCTTCTGACAAACCCTGACTCCTCCCTCGGGCCCACGAGTAGGATGAAACATGGCGTCCTGGTCTTTCATTCCTTTCTGCTTTGGTTCCTCAGCTTACCACTTCAATTCGGCCCCTTAGCCTCTCAGAGAGCTCGGACTAACGTTGCTCATGTCCTTTCAAGGCTAAAGGCACAGCGATGTCATTGTCCTAACCTGCAGCCACTGTGAGTTTCAGGAGAACCTTCATGACAACTCCTTTACCCTAACTCCCAAGCGTGCACCTCGGTACCCCACACCCCTTACTCCTGCACAAAGGCAATTATCCACGAGGGTCAGGCTGTAGCCTGAAATAGAAGGAACCATCTCCTGAGAACCACCTGCCCCCAGCAATATGGGCTTCTGTATACCCCCATAGAGCAAGAACCGAGACAATGATAAACAAACCACACCTTGACTAGTACTGTACCTCTTGACCCCTGACCCATTCTCCCTGTAGAAAAATGTTAAGCTTACATCAAGCACCCTGAGACAGACTTGGGCTCAGGAGACCTTACTTATCCCTTTTCCTGATGTGGCCACACTGAACAAGTGTGCCTATGACTTTTGCCATCTGCCTGGCATATGGGAAGGTGGTCCACCCTCGGTTCTGGGGCCTGTGGAACCTTACTCTGGTTATGAGACTTGCAAATGCCTTGTCTGTGCCCACATATCCTAAGCCCTAGGTACACTTGATCTTCAAAGGACCCTGTAAGCCGGACTCATACCGAAGTGTTCCAGCACCACGTCAGAGCCTAGTCACTGTTTCTTCCTGTAGTAGACTCCTCGAATGAATGAGCTTTGTGATCATGTGGTAGCTTGATGTAATTGGACCCATAATTTCATAGGGAGTGGCACTATTAGGAGGTGTGGCTTTGTTGGAGTAGGCATGGCATTGATGGAGGAAGTGTGTCACTGTGGGGGTGGGCTTTGAGGTTTCCTATGCTCAGGATACCGCCCACTGTCTCAGTTGACTTCCTATTGCCTTCAATACGTAGGACTCTCAGCTACTCATCCAGCACCATGTCTGCCTGCATGTCATGCCATCATGCTCCCCAACATGATAATAATGGACTGAACCTCTGAAACTGTAAGTGAGCCACCCCAATTAAATGTTTTCCTTTATAAGAGCTGCTGTGGTCATGGTGTCTCTTCACAGCAATAGAAACCCTAACTGAGACAGATCATTTAGTCACCAGCAGCCAGGATTTTGGAAGAGCACTATGAACGGTCTAGATGTTTAGAGGGGGCTGCACCTGTCTGGAGGATGCCTACAGGCCACCAGTGAGACTCAGTGTCTGGATTTCAGGAGCTAAGCTGACAGCCACATCTGGTCCACCCTCCCTGTGCAGTGTGACCCCATTTATGCTGAGTACAGCAAGCTTTGTGAACATCTTAGGGATACACAAGATAATTTACTTGTGATTGGGTGTCACATCCAAGAAAGGGTGACAGTGGAGACACATCCTAACAATGGGACAACACAAATGAGATTTGGGTGATTATGACAAAAGGTCACAGATGGGAGAGACAGGAGAAAGTCAGGGACGCAGATGAGCAGAGTGAATGGTGTCCTCTTGGGAAACTCAGCCAGCAGCCTAAGGCCTAAAAGAAGGGCCTTGGTTTACCAGTAACCAAGTGGGCATGAGGAAACTCCTGCCTGGATGGGG